ATACCCCAACCCTCCTGCTTCCCATCCTGTGTCCCTACCATCCACTGGGAACATTTAAGCCAGAAGGGGGCATCATGGTGGCCTCCCCGCCTATGGCCCTGCTACATTCACTTGGGCATCAGTTCTGCTCATTTGGCTTCCCAAACCCCCCTGGATGCCCAGGAGTGGCTTTCAGGGCCTGCTCTACAAAGGGTGGAGCCTTGTGAGCTTTGGAGGGCGCTCCAGGGATGGGACCATGTGCACCACAGACTTGCGGCCACCCTCCTGGGCTCACTTCCCACCCAGCAGTGTCACGCTGTGTGGAGTGCCACTGCCTGTCCCAGTGGATGTTGCCTCCCCTGTGGGGGGCGCACACAGGGTCCTGAACCGGTCCAGGGTGTCTGTCACTGCAGCCACAGGAACTTGGTCATCAGCCAGCCCAGGCCGATGGTCGCAGTTGGAGCACCCCTGCACCCAAGCGGAGGGTGGCCTCTGATGCACGGCCAGGCTTGAGGAAGGGGTGCAGCCCCAGCACCAACTGTGTGACCCTGGACTGGGCCCTCCCCACCGGTGTCCCCCATTGCAAAACAGAGGCTGAGGGAACCGAAAGGGCGTGTGCACTGGCCTGAGCCACTGCCGCTGCTATAAGACCCTGCCGTCCCAGGGAGGGCTGTGGGGGCCCCACAGTGTGGGACCCAAAGCTTTCGGTTAAAAGAAACAACTGAACAATGAGCAAAAGCAGGCCAGGCCCTGGCCAGCAAGGGGACTGTCACACGGAGGGAGATGCGTCACTGATTCTGTGCGCCTGAGGCCCTTGGGGATAAACAGGAAAGGGAAGAAGTCACAGAAGTCACAGAGTGAGGTCCAGTGTCCGCACCAGAGGAGGTGGGCAGGGCCACAGACGCTCCCTCTGCATAGCTGGTGCCTCCCCGAGAAACTGGGGAAAGCTGGCCCCAACTTTCCCTCACGCTGCCACAGGGGCTTCATCTGTCACCATTCATTCTCCAGAGTGGTCCCTCCCGCCTGCCAGGACAGCTGTCCCTTTCTGGCCTCGAGATGCCCTTTGGCTCAGCAGCCTCCTTGACCTGCCTCCTCCTGTCCCAAGTAGCCCACTCCCCTCAGAGCCTCCTGTGGTCCCTCCCCTGAGTAAAACCTTCCATCACCTCGCCTTGGCCATAAGGCAGGTGGCTGCAGGTGACAGAGAAGCCAAGGGACAGTGCATGAAACAATGGTCTTCTGGAAGACCCGGCAGGTTCAGTGGCCCTACCAAGCCACAGGGCTGGCTCTCACTCTGCTGTACCCGCAGGCACCCTGCCTCCATGCCACCAGGGAGAGGTGTGTGTGCCCGTTCACAAAGCTTTTTCAGAAGCCCTAGCCACTGATTTCTTTCATGTCACTGACCAGACCTGGGACCCGTGGTCACCTCTAGCTGCAAGGGAGGCAGGAAAAGTATTTTTATCTGGACACGCAGAAGCCCGGAGCCAATTGGGGTTCCATTAGAAAAGGCAGGAAGACTACTAGAGGGTCTGCCAATATCTCCTGGAACCTGTGATTTGTACCCTTGTTTGGATCAGGTCCTTGCAGATGTAACTAGTTAAGATGAGACCATACTAGAATAGTATGGCCCCTTAAGCTAATGACTGGTCCTTCGGAGAGAGATGTGCAGGGTAGAAGATCATGTGAGGATGGAGGCTGGGAGTGAGCGAATGCTTACAGGCCACCACCAGGCACAGGAAGAGGCAAGCAAAGGTCTTCTTCCTCAGAACCCCTGGAGCGAACACTGTGACACTGAATTCAGACTCTGACCTGCCACAGCTTCTAGAGAAGAAATGTCCGTGGTCGTAGCCCTCGGCTCCAAGATAATCATCAGCGGAAACAAAACCTGGCCACCCTCTGCAGGGAGTGGGCTAGTTCCCACGCACCGGGACTTGCCCGGGATGTGCACCAGGAACTGGAGACCGGCCTCGGCTCCGGGGAGGGGCAGGCTGGCCTCGGAGGTGGGGACCGGGTTTTCCCCCCTCACTGCACAGCCTGGGTTCTGTTTGCATTTTTGTTTTCTTACCACATTAACATGTTATTTATCCCAAATAGAGTAAGTGTAAATTGGAGAAAATAAATGGATAAAACCCCCACACCTCTCCCATCCCTTCCCCCTGCTCAATCTGTTGGTAATAGTGTTCAACCACCAGCTTTTGGGGTGGGACTGGGGGACCCTGGTTTGTAGCATTGGCCTGCGTTTTCAGAGGAGAGAAATGACAGGCCAGGGACCTCAGTGGGGGAAGGAGGAGCTGCAGTCTGGGACTCCGGGGAGGGGACAGCTGGGTTAATGAGGACAGTTCCCCCAGGGGTCACCACCAGCCCCTTCCCGGCCTCCTGTCCCTGGAGACTGCAGCCAAGGTCAACATCACAGGCTGGTGCTGGGACCTCACGGGGCGGAGACACGGGACAGCCAGCTCGCCTCCTGGAGGGAGAGCTGGGGCCCTCTCACCTGTCCACCCCACCCCACAGGTGGGCAGAGCTTTTTGGCGGGGTAGTTGCAAAGGAAAGTGTCCCCTACAGGAAGCCCTTGGGGGCTGGCCTCCTGTGCTGGGTTAGGTCTAATCTCCAGTGGACATTTCCATTCACTCTCCTCCTTGAGGCTGTTTCTGACCTCAGCTGGTGTCCCTCTCGGTGCCCTCACCGCAGCTGGGGCCTCAAGGCCAAGAGGGACCAGGCACCTGAGGGGTTCCTCCTGGGCCGAGACCTCGTCCAGCACGTCTGAGCTCCACACACTCCATCCTCATGCTCCATCAGCCCCACAGTGCAGCTGAGGAGACCGTGCCCACCCAGGTCACACAGCTAGGGCTGCCATCAGGGCCTGTGGACACACGGGCCACCAAGCCAGCCCCTCTGACTCCAGGGAGCGGTGTGCAATGAAGCCCTGTCTGCAACTCACAAACAAAGCTGACCCTCTTAAAAAACAGAATTTATTCCCTCGTGGGTTCTGTACGACGACACCCGGTGCCCAGGGTGGGCGTGCTGTCCTCCGTGGCCACAGCAGCCTCCCAGGGAGAGCCTGTCACATTGCCAAGAACCCGATCCCCGTTCTGGGGCAAAGGTGCCCCCTCCGCCCAGAATGGCCACATCTGGGCCTTCACCACCTCGCAGGACACCAGGCACCAAGGAGCTCGCCTGGGAAAGGGGGACCCTACTGCCCTGCTGACCTCTCTGCATACCTTTGTGGGGAGCCCTGGCTGGGGGTAGTGGTCTAGAGGTCCAAGAATCAGCTGACCTGTGTCTCCATTTTACACTTGGGTGGTCTGAGGCTCGGCCGGGAAACCCTCCCTGGCCGAGGCTGCATTAGAGAATGTTGAGATCTCCTCCCCTTGGCCGTTCCTTCTCCCAATGCCTACCCCCAGGAGGAGCCTCCAGCAAACCCATGGCTTCTTGGTGGGACCCCAGGTCACCCTCCATGGGAGTGGCAGTAGTAGCTGGGTGCCCTTGGAGGCTGGGTGAGTATTCCCAGCACTGCTGTGTCAACAAGCTGGGGTGCTACGGCAGAGGACTCTGTCCCCAGTGCAGCAGAGACTGGACAAGGTGGCCACGGACTGCCCTGGAGCTGCACCATGGGGAGGACGTGCAAGGTGAGTCCCTGGGCCTCCCCTCCGTGGGTCCCGGAGAGCAGGTGGTGGTGGGCAGCTGGCAGCCCAGGGCTGGAGTGCTGGCCAGGCCACAGGCCCCGTGTCCCCTCTGTAGAAGTGCAGGTGCTACACGGGCTTCAGCTCTGAGCTTCCTGATTGCGCAGGGCGGTGTGAGGCGGCTGCTGCGCAGCTGAGAACAATGAGCCTGTCAAGGTCGCAGCTGAGGTAGCCCAGGTAAGGGGCCCAGGTGGCTGGGCAGGGAGGCAGGCGGGAGGGGGCCCAGTTTATGTCTGTGTTGGATTCTGCAAAGGGGCCCTGGGGGTCACGCCCTACACCGTGGGGGTCAGGCGTCACAGGCTGGAGGGCTGGGCCAGCGAGGGCCCCGCGGGGGCGGCAGGCGCGGCCTCGTCCTCGGGCTGGGCCTCCTCGCCTCGCGCGTAGCTGAGCACGACAGTGACGGTGGCAAAGGTGGCGGCGTTGACGGGGAAGGCACGCAGCAGCGTGGACGCCAGCCCGCGCGTGAAGACGCGCCAGCCCTCCGCGCGGTAGCTCTGGCGCATGCAGTCGAGGATCCCCTCGTAGCGCGCGGCGCCCCGCAGCCCGTCGGCCTGCAGCCGCGACTTGACCACGTCCATGGGGTAGGTGGAGAGCCAGGACGTGATGCCCGACATGCCGCCTGCCAGCAGCAGCTTGGGCACCAGCAAACGGTCGCCCGGCTCGCAGCCCAGGGCGCGCGTCACCACGTCGTACGTGAGGAAGTAGACGCCGAAGCTGGGCGTCTCCCGCAGCAGCGTGGACACCATGCCCCGGTTGACGCCGCGCAGGCCCTCCTGCTGGTAGATCTGTGCCAGGCAGTCCAGAGAGCCCCGGTAGGTGCGGGCCGGGCCCGCGTCCTGCAGCTGCAGCCGCGTCTTGGCCAGCTCCATGGGGCAGCAGATGACGCACTGGATGGCCCCCGCCGCCGCGCCCGCCAGGAACTGGTTCAGCGGCGAGTCACAGCCCAGGGCCCGCAGAGTGTTGCCCTGGACGCCGAACACCAGCGCGTTGATGAAGGTGAGCCCCATGAGCGGGGAGCCTATGCCCTTGTACAGGCCCAGCACCTGCGGGGCGCAGGGAGGAGTCAGGCACCCACCTCCTGCTGGGGGCTTGGGTAGCCCAGCCCGCTTCCCCAGTTCCCCAGGGAGTCTGCATGCAGGTGGCCGCAGCCTCAGCCCACCCCAGGTGTTCAGGAGGGCCGAACGGAATTTGATTAGAACCATTTCCAAACACCAGATTTCCCCAGTAGGCCTGACTCTTCTTTCCTAGCCTGTGTTCCGGCCCAGCAGCCTCCTAGAAGCTGGTTTCCGCCCGCCCCCCCCCCCCCCCCCCCGCCTGGCGTCGCCCCCCCCCCCCGCAGCCACTCACGCTCTCCTGCTTGATGATGGACTGGAAGCAGTGGACGGTCCCTCGGTACTGTGGCTTCTCCAGGCTCTGGACCTGAAGCCGCACCTGGAAGGAGGGCCCAGGAAAAGGTCAGCCAGTGGGAACCAGGTAGCTGGCTGCCTGTGGCTCTTGGAATTCTAAGGTGGGCTGAGGCCAGGGACCTGCGCCTCTTCAGGGAGGGGTATCAGTGAGCCAACAGCCACTGGATGACGCCAGAGGGGCTGGGGCCACCCAAGACCTCAGTCAGGCAGCTGCTGAGTGTACAGATGGAACAGAACCAGCCCCATCTCACATCCCAGATCAAAGTTTCCCACTCTGACCGTCCTCACTGAGCTCCTCAGTGCCTTCTGGTTGATGATTGATGATCTGTGCTCTTTAAAATGTGACCATGAATACTTTTGTCCATAACAGCTGGACAGCATGACAACCTAGATAAACATCAAGTTGGTGACAGTGTCAGTTATAAGCAGTCATGTGTCACAAGACCCCGAGGAGGTGCATGGCCCCTGACACTACCCCATCCCTCATCCCTTGGCCTGGTCCGTCCCCGGGGCCCCAAGCTGCACTGTGAACTGTGCTGTGCAGGCTCTGGCAGTGGAGAAGCACCGAGCCTCTGCTGAGCGAGCCAGTGGGCAGGCGGGCGTCTGCACTGGCTCCGCCCCAGTCTTCCCGGAGGTGGGTCACCCTGCAGTAAGTCCTGTTGTATTCAATGGGGTTGCCTGCTTCATGTTCTGGTGTGAAGACACCTGGTCTGGTGGCCGCTGCACCTCTGCCCCACTGTGGGACCCCCAGTCCCCCATTCCACTGTCTGTGCAGTGTGCCGACTGGTGCATGAGCACCTCTGGGGACCCCCCCACTGTCTCGGTCGCAAACCATGGCCCATGCCATGGGGGCTCCTGGCCTAATACCCCGTCCTCATCTGCCCTCACCAGGGGCTGGTACCCAGCTCCAGGCACCGGACCACCACACAGCAGGCTGCTGCTCGGGTTCTGCCAGTGGCCCCTTGTGGAGACAGAGGTCATGTGTTAGTAAAGTCACAGGAAAGCAGCTGACAGCCTCCTTGGGGACATTAGTGACCCTGGGGATTAGGCCCAGGGTCCCCACGTGTGAAAATCTTCATTAACTGACAGTTTATCTCTGAATTGGCTAGAGCCCCAGGTGCAGAGTAGCCCCAGGTGCAAATTGGGCGGCACCCCCCCCCCCCGAACTTGGAATCTGTGTCACGGGTGGGGTGGGGCTGGGCGAAGCCACATTCTCCCCTGCCTGACTCAGAAATTCTCACAGCAACCAGGACCGGCGTGATGGTCCGTCTGTGCCAGGCAGCAGGACTGGGGTCTCAGGCACGCCAATCATCGGCCTCAGCAGGGGGCGGTTCGACCCTTGCATTTTCAAAGACAGGCAGATGGAGGCTCAGAGGCGCTTCATTGTCCCTGCCGTGTTCTGGTGTCTCTGGAGGGACCTCTGTCCTCCCTGTGGCTCCCAACACCACCACAGAGAGGCTGTGTCAGCCGAGGTGGCATGAAGCGGAGCTGTTCCCTCCTTGGCTCGAATTTTTTAACACTGTCAGTGTCTTTTTTCTTTTTAATTTACTGATTTTTATAGTGAGAGGAAAGAAGAGAAGAGAGAGAAAAGCACTGACTTGCTGTTCCACTTATTCATGCATTCACTGGTTGCTTCTTGTATGTGCCCTGACCGGGGATCAAACCTGCAACCTTGGTGCATTGGGGCAGTGCTCAAACTAACTGAGCCCCCCGGCCCAGGTCCCGACAGCGCCTCAAAGTCTGTGCAGACTGGACAGCTTCATTCGTGCCCAGGCCTGCTTGAGCCCCACAAGAGACCACAGAGGCCCTTCTCCCCTTCGTTTCTAACCCCTGGGCCCGGCGTGAGCCCTTGTTGTGTGAGGGGCCGGGTTTGGGGGGAATGTGGCCCAGGGAAGACCGAGGGCCCCACCCCCAAAAAAGTGGCCACTTGCACATGAGCCCAGGAGCCTCCCAGGTCCCCCCGGGGCTTGGAGACGCAGACCCAAAGACCCCGACCCAGGGGACAATGATTTCCCTCGACCAGCCCTGCCCAGGTCCCCAACCCAGGACCTGTGCCAGACCCAAGTGCCCCTCCTGCCGTCCCTGTCCTAGGGCCTGGAGGGGACTCAGGTGGTGGAAAGGGGGCTCCAGGCCCAGGGTCTGGTTTGGGGAGGACAAGAGAAGCATGGGGTCCACTTGGGGGCTGCGGCTTTCTTCGCTCACCTATGACAGACTTCTGTCATGGCTGGGGCACCTCAGGCAAGGTCAGGCACCAAAGCTTCCACATCACGTCTGGACAAAGCCCCAGGGCCAGCCCCTCCCAGCCCTGGGAGAGCCACATCCTGGTGACAGCAGGCTGGGACGGATTAGGGTCACATCACCTGAGGCAGGACGGCAAAATACCTTCCTGGGAAGGTCCAAGGCTGAGGACAGTGGCTGCAGTTCTAGGTTCCACAGAGGGAAACCAAATTTCAATAAGATGGACCCGGGCCTCGGGAGTGAGGATGGCGGAGGCCCCTGAGGGGAGGGGCTTCGGGGCGGCCTTGCCCTCCTTTTCCCGCAGCTCCTAGATTTGGGCACTGGGCACCTGTGCTCTTTCCTGCAAGTTCAATGTCCATTTTGACAGCGGAGCTGGGAGATAAATCCTGCTTTTGCAAAAGCAAGAATATACGTGGGACTGTGCGCATTTCCGTTTTTCAGTAGAAATCGTTAACGGGGGAAAGGCTGTCTTGTCTGAAGGACTGTGGGTTTTTTTTCTTTTTAGTTTATATGTCTCTGTAATGGTTACAGTTTTTCGCACCTTGCATTACTTCCGTAACAAAAAGCTAACAGAAAAATGTGTGTGTGACATTAAACACCTTAAAACACCAGCTGCCCACAGGGCCTAGAGGGCGGAGGGGCTTCCGAAGGCACAGCCTTAGAGGTGAGAACAGACCTGCCTGCAGCAAGCCGTCCACTTTTCTACCTGTCCCGGTTTTCTTGTAAGGACAGGGTTTAACTTTCATAGTGAAAGGAGCCAGTAAAAAAAAAATAAAGACATTAGAACACTAAACGGAACCGAGCGAGCGCACCCTCACTCAGCTCAAGGCCACAGTGCGAGCCTGGGGGACAGCAGAGTGGGGACAGCGTCTGGGGGACAGCGGCGGCCCTGGGGGCGGGCTTCCCCCCTTATCACCAGAAACAGCTTGTCCGGGTGGTATGCTGGTGGGCCAGTGACAAAAAAAGGGGTCACAAACGGATTTCCTCTTTCCAGATGCCAGGTAAGAGGGGTTCCAAAGGGCATCTTCCCGGGGCACAGAAGCTCCCGCACCCCAAGTGCCACAGTGGGTGGAGCTCCGAGGGGTGTGGGTAAGTTACACTGGGAGCACCGTTTGGGCCAAGACCACAAGTGGCAGGACTGAGGCAATGCGCCAGTCAGCTGGCAGCTGGGCCCCTGCCCAGGGCCCAGGGGCTGCCTTGTCCAGGTCAGGGCCAACGCACAAGGCCAGGCCCAGATGCCTCTACCACTGGAGGAAACCCAGCCTGAAGTTCCCTGTCCTTTTCTCGGCCAAGGAACACCTGGGCTCCAGAAAAGAGGAGACACAAAGTCCACCTCAGCCCCCGCCAGGGACGCTGTGCTTGCCTGCACTCGGCCCACAGGCCTCGGGAGAGGGGCCAAGGTCAGCAAATACACTGGACAAAGGTCTGGCTTCCTGCCCTGCCAGTTACTATAGCCACCCTGGCCCTCTGCCGCCTGCCCCCACATCCCATGAGCAGAGAAGGTAAGGCCCGGGCTTGGCTGCTTTGAGGACAGAAAACCCCCCAAAAGAGAAAATCTTAGCCCGGACTTCCCAGCAGAACATGGGTCTCCTCGGTTTCTGTTCTGAGGCGTCTGAGAACTAGGAACGGCCTGGTTTCTCGGGGTGCGGGGCTTTCGGAAGAGGGGACAAGTGCCCGTCCCACCCACAACCACTCCACGGGTGAACACCTGCCCCCGGGAAGGGGTCACTCGGCGTCCGGACTGTGGCCGTCCCTGCTCGGTGCGGGCTGCCTTTGTGGCACATGCTGACAGGTTTGATTTTTCCCCCATTTATGTTCCTGCTGAGCTTTTCTTTGTTTTAAGAAGCTGTCAGGAGGAGTTCTGCGAGAACACCGTGGGCATCCCCACCCTGGGTGAGGGTAGACCAGTCCCCTGGCCTTAGCTGGCCAAACCCCAGGGGGGCCCTGACCTTCAGCCGCCACTGGGAAGTGTGGGGACAAACTGGGGGGAAGGTCGCTCAGCTTAGAGGGCAAGCGGCCCACCTGGGCGTCAGCGAGAGCCCGGATTCGGCTTTGTTCTAGAACCTGGGGGAAGACCTTGAAGGTGTTCCTAAGGTGGACTCTGGCAGGGAGCCTCCGGCCACCCAGACCCTACAGGCCTCTGTCCCACGCCCGCCCCTCCCCAGGGCCCAGACTTACAACACAACAGGAGACTCACCTTGACCGTGTCAAAGGGGTGTCCCACCAGCACGCCTGCCACACCTGCAGCAAGAAAGGACTTGTGACCCAGATGCCCCAGAAACCTGCAGTGTCGGGTGGAGTGCCCAGGGGACAGCGCTGGGCTGCCAGACCCAGCAGGCGTAGTTCCCGGCTGTGTGCCTGGCTCCGCCCCCAGGAGCCCCTTAGTGCTTGGGGGGAGGAGCATGTGAGGGTGGCCCAAGGGTCACACCAGGATCTGTCCAACTCAAAGCTGCTGTCTCTCTCTCACCGTTGCTCACTGCAGTTGGCAACAGCAAGCTGTTGCTAAGTGGTCCCATTGCTCCCGACGCCTCCCAGCACAGGTGGGGTACTCCGGAAATTTTGAACTTGGAGCCAGACCCTCACCCAGAACTGAATTTCCTCTCTGTCACTTACCAGCTGACCAAACTCCCAGATGACTCAGCGTCTGAGCCTCACCTCGGCGGTCCAGGTGTGAGCACCAACCTCCCCCGGCGGGTCCCCGGGGAGCGCCCATCCAGGACCAGGTATGTGGCGGGTGCCAGGTGACTGCTTCCCCTGCCCCACAGTGGAGCCGCCTGGTGCCCGAGGCAGCTTGTGACCCTGCAGCTGTGCCTGGTTATGTGTTGGGCCGGGCCTTGCCACAGCCTGGCCCCCCGGAGGGCGAAGGCTCACACACACTTCCTGGGGTGCACCTGAAGTCCGTGCGCTCTGCACCTCATAGGCACCCCCACGACTGGGCAGCCTTGTTACCCCACTTCAGGGAGGAGAAACAGGCTCGGAGAGGTTGAGTGGCCGCCACACGCCCCTCCCCAGATGTTTACGTGTGTGCACCCAGAGCCTGCTTACTGCCACGAGTGCTCATGTGCGGTGAACGCGGCGGACACGCGGAGTTTCTGTCTGCTGTCCCTGCGCTCCGTTTCTCGCCTGTGCCGCCTCCCCAGGTCAACACCTGTACAGAAAGGACTTCCAGCCCATCAGGTGGAAGAAGAATCTAGGGCACACAGCTAGCAATGGTGGAGCTGGCATTCGAACCCCATGCCACCTGGGGAAACACCCTGTGACAGCTGCACAGCCCATCTCTTCAAAGCCGGCAGAGAGCGGTTCTGTGTCTGAGGGGCTCCGGGCCGGGCCTGCAGGGCCGCTGCCTCCCAGACGCCTTCTGGCTTCCGGGGCTGCTGATGGGGAGTCTGCCCCCAGCGGGTGCTCTTCTCCTGGGTCAGTAACTGATCTGTTCTGACAGGAAGCCTCTGAGGTTTCAGGAATGTCATAGGAGGTGCCAAGGGTGCGTCCTTTTTCTTTAGAACAAGCCTGCCTGGCTCTCCACTAGCCCTGTCGGTCTGTGGCCTCCCCTTTTCCTGCTCAGAGAAAATTCCCAGTGTCACTCATTCGTCAGGGCTGTCGCTGCCAGGCCGTCTCCCCTTCCAGAACCCTCACCCCCACAGGTGCATGGGGGGGGGCTATCTTCCCCTCGAGACGCCACATCTGGTCTTGAGACACATGTTGTTTCTGGAGTCTGAGATCTACCTTTGTGTTCATGTTCTGAATCTGAAAACCCTAGTTCTAGAACTTCCCTTTTTGGGCTACCATTGGGTTTGGGGGCTTTGGAACCCTAGCACTTGCCCGAGGCGCACCGATCAGCCTTCCCACCCTCTCAGCTGGGGCCCCTCCAGCCCACCAAGCCCCTTGCAGCCAGGTCCCCGGCTGCGGGGACCCAGGGAAACACGTGCTGGACGTGAGGGAGGTTCCCTTCCTGTGCTGGAGGGTCCTGCCTCCGGCTCCAGACTCGTCTCAGCCCCTGTGTTGTGGGGGCAGAACCTCGCCCAGCAGCCTGGGTCGGGAGGCCCCAGGCAAAGACTGGAGGGCAGAAATTGGCATCTTCCCATCTGCAGGCATGAAGTGGGCCAGAGTGGGCTGTGGGGCCTGCCTCCCCAAGCCTCTAGGCCCCCAAAGCCGCCTTCTTTTAACCTCAGGGTCACCTGAGAGCCGGGAGGCCCCTCCAGGCCAGCGCCCCAAAAGGATCCTGAGGCCACAGTTGCAGCAGCTGGTGTGGACCTCGTCCCCCAACTCCAAAGCCAGTGCCCAACACCCTGCATCGGCTGACACTTTGGGGCACCTGCCATCCCATGACCTTCCAGGGCAGGACAGGGACCGCCATCCTTGAGGCACCTGGCCACAGAGGTGATGTGAGGGGGCACCAGGATGGCCAACCTATCCCCGCTCCAGGGGTCCCCCTGCCCACACTGGACTTCTCTCTGCACCTCCTTCTATCCATGCCCCCAAGGGAGGCCTCCAGACTGCTGGCCGGCAAAGTCCTGCTCTGCCTCTCTAAGGGCAAGCTGCATAGCTGACCCACTCTCACATAATCGGCGTGATGTGCTATCCCCCCCAACTCGGAAAGTGAATCTGGAGGGGCCCCGGGCCCGAGACAAGGCACCGCCATGATCTGCCCTGAGCCTCCTGGCACTGAGGAGCCTCCCAACATGGAAGCAACATGGGGTCCTGGGTCCAGGCTCCGAGGTAGGGGCATGGTTTGCACATGGTTCCCGGACAGCCTCCCTATAGGGGCTGGGCCTTGCACGGGGCTGCAGGTGGGCCTGGGACACAGTCAAATCCCTGTCCTTTGGGCTAAAGGGGAGAGGACAGCCCCTGCCCTACTCTGTGGGAGAAGCATGCAGCATGAGTTTGTGCTAGTCCCTCCAATTCTTAGGGCCTAGGTTTCTCTGGGTCAGATAAGACCAGGAGAGGGTCCCAGGAGACTACCGACCTTCTACCCCCTTTCTGGTGGCCACTTCCATCCTCATTCATCCCGGAGGCTTGGGCCTCAGCTCACACAGCTGGGAAGTTGGGCACCACCCACCCTGTGCTTGCATGTGAACCCCAGTAGGACAGAGGCACGGCTGGTGAAGCCTCTTCCATTCAGGAGGGCGCTGGATGCTGGGGCTTGGCAGGGAGCTCTCCTGGGAAAGGCTCTCCAGGAAGGGGCCCTGCCCGAGCGAGTGACTGCACATGTGTGTCTGGGCCGTAGTCTCTAAGCAGGCGGGCCTCAGGATGAAAGTTCCAAATCCAAGCTCCTAGGATGCCTGCAGAAAAGCCTGCCTCTGGGGAGAATCCACATTCCCCAAGAAGCTGGGAGGGGGCGCTGGCCCCTGGACAGCCCCCACCCTCCGGATCATGCGCCCATGGTGGGTGGGGGGAGGGGAGCTGGGGCCTGGGACCCCCATGGTGGGTGGGGGGAGGGGAGCCGGGGCCTAGGAGGGGCCAGCAGAGGTGGCTGACACTAAGGGGAAGGAGAGGGTGAGCAGAGTGGGAGCCAGCTGACAGCAGGATCCACCAGGCCCTGGCCCTGCTTCCAGTCTCCTCTGGTGCCTGGGCTCGCCGGAAATTCTCTGCCGATTTGCCAAAAACTCTGGGGTTTTAACCCCCTTTTCAGGATCCTGTCCTTGGCTTCCTGAGGCCTGACTAGGGAACAGTCTGATAAATTTTTAAACCCCTTCCCACACATCATGCCCCAACACACTCCCTTCACCAGCCTCTTTTCTCCCAGAGCTTAAGGCCACTGATAGTGGGCACTGCTCTCTCGCCAGGGTGCCCACCGCTGGCAGGTGCTGGAGGAGACAAGCTCTGGAGGTCAGAGCTGGACAGGTCAAAACACCCAACCAGCCATCTCTCTGCCCAGGAGGCAGGACCTGCCACGTCTGTCAACTCATCGCCAAATTCCCGGTGGTGGAACCTGGCTCCCAGTTAATACCTGTTGCATAAATTAACTCTCTGAGTAAAAGCTGAGAAACTAAGGGCCAAACTGGTAGGCACCCCAGCCAGCCCACAGTGGGACTGCAGCAGAGCCAGGACTGCACACTGACTCCGGGGACACAGATTTGGATCGACTTCCGTGAAGATGTCCCGCAGGTGACACGGGCCCCGTGAGCCCAAGGGGCGTGTCGGGCCCACTCGCACACGCGCGTAGAGTCGACCCCCAGCAGCTCACTAATGGGCGTAAGACAGGGATGGCACGCCAGAGTGACTGGGGTCCGGCTGACGCCTTACGGTGCACCCCCCTCCCCAGGCTAGCCCGATAGCAGGTAGTCCCGTGGCTCCAGCTCCGCCTAGACGGCTGAGCTGGAGGGGAAGGAGTGGAGCCAGCCTTGAACTTCAAGGGCTCAAGGTGGGGACGCGGCTCTAGGTAGGATGGGGATGGGGGATGGGGGAAGGGGGAAAGGGGAGAGGAGGGCGTAGGGGGCGGCGGGGCACCCTCCTGACTGTCCCTGCCTCCGTCAAATCACATTGCCACTCCCGGGCCCCAGACCTCCGTTCCCAATGTGCCTCGAAGGACTTAAAAAACACTTGCCTCGTGGACAGCGCGCTAGGCGCCCTCGGGCCTGGTGTCTATTCACGCCCATGAGAGCCCTGAGGGACGAAGAAATCCCAAGGAGTGGGCGAGCCGTTGGACCAAGCAGCCGGCAGGTGAGCCAGCCTCGCATCCCAAACGCCAGGCTCTGGAGCCCGAGATCTGGAGCCCCGCATCCCCGGCCCGTGCGCATTCCTCCCGCCTCCTTACCCCCCGCGCATCCAGCCAGGAAGTCGAGCGCCATTTGCAGGGATGGCCGTCCTTCCTCCGCGTCCTTCTTCTCCGGCCCTTTGCGGGGCTGATCGCCGTCCAGAGCCACCTGGCTCGCTGGGCTGGGGCTCGGTCTGGCCGCCGCCTCCTGGCGTGGAGCCCCGGTCAGGTCTGGGGCGGGGGGCGGCGGCGGCTCAGCGAATGACTTCTCACCTGGCGCAGGTTCCTCCCCGGCCGGATCCCGTCCCCTCGAAGCAAGTCCTCAGGCAGCAGTGGTCCCTCACTTCGGGCCCTGCGCCCCGCCTCTCAAGGCTGCGGGCGGCCCTGGGGCGGGGCGCGGAGCGCAGCCAATGGGCAGAGGAGGCGCGGACGACGCCCCGGGCCTGCGCGCCGCCACCGGGTCTCATTGGCTGGACGTGCCGGGGAAGG